TGGGCGCAGCGAAGCCCTTTGTCGCCAGCAGCCGCGTTCGTGCCGCACTCGGCGGCTTAAAATAAAGACAATGTTCCCAGCCTCCCCGCGGCTAAATCGGGCGCGGGTGCGGGGGTGGCGAGCGCGCCGGGCGGCAGCGCTCCTCCCCGCGCCCCCTCCCTGCCTTCCTCCGGCCTCAGTTTCCCCATCTGGTAAGGGGGACCTAGCCAAGTCTAGGAAAGGAGGAAAAGGGGAGGATAAAGCAAAGAATAAAACAATAACGAGACTGGGGGAGGGGCGCGTGGCCCCCCAGCCCCCGCGGACGGGGGGGGGGGACGGCTCGGGAAAGCTGGACACCCTCCCCTCCCGCCCACCAAATAAGTGTTTTTATTTCTAAAGGGACGTGTGCAGAGGCGGTGGGAGAAAAGAAAAGGGAGACCGAGGCGATGGAGGGGGGTGGGGGGAAGGGGCCACGAGGGAGCCTGATTCAGACTCGGAAATGGGTGCGGAGCGGGGAGGCCTGAAACCCCCACGCTCGGCCGCGGGGACGCGCGGTCCGACGGGGGCGCGCGGGAGCGCTCACCACCGGCGGAAAACCCGGCGCAGCCCGGCGGCGGGGGGGGGGGCGGGGGGGCAGCCCATCATGGGGAAAGCCCGAGGGCTGATCCCACCTGACCCCTGGCCTGGCCCTGGGATGGAAGCGGGAGCCGCTCCGATCCCTCCCCAAGCTACAGTTGTCTGTCCAACTTCAGAAAGGGGGTGTCCTGGGTGCGTGCTTGAGCCCCAACTTCTCAAAAGTTCTCTGGCACCTGCGCCCATCCCTGGGGGACCCAGCACCTGGGACTCAGGCATCAGCGTTACAGAGGGGTATTAGATGGGAGAAGAGAAATGGCAGGGGGACAGGGCCTGGACCCCAAACTCCAGAACTCTGGGTTTAGCACTGCAGACCTGAGTCCAAACAGTGGCCCAGCACGAGTTTACTTCACACTTCTGCCCTTCAGCTTTCTTAAGTCTCTCTCAAAGCTTCAGCCCTAGTCCAAGGGGCAAAGAACAACACCTCACAACCAGTAGTAGCCTAATAGCCCCCCCCATTCTGCCTCAGGATCTGCTCCCCAGGAGGTCTCTAGGACCTGTTAAGATCATGGGGGATCCAGGTCACTATGGCAAATGGCTCCCCAGGGGCTCCATCTCCCCGGAAACTCAACACAGAAATCCAAACCTCCCGGGGGGGGGGGGGGGGGAGGAAGGAGGGAAGGAGGGGAGGGGAGGGGAGAGGAAAGGAGGAGTGGCCCTTTCCTTCCCAGGTATGCACACCTGTGAGCTTTGAGTGGGAGTCCAGGGAGACAAGAGTTTGACAAGCTGGGAGGAGAGCTTGTCTGTCTGTTTGTCTGTCTGTCTTCCAAGGGGAAGCTGGGGGTGGAGCAGGCAGGGAGGCAGAGGCTGTTTCACTTATCAGAAAGAACAAATTCCACCGTTGGGCAACACTCAGACATACATTAAATAGACATGCAAGGTGCGCATGCACGCACCCTGCCTTCACATCCACAGGGTCCCACCTGCATTTATGCAAGCCGGCTGCAGCATGACCTGAGTACACAGGGACACACACACACACACATGCCCAGATCGCCACAGCACAAGGAGCGCACACCCAGGCTCATCCCCCCACCCTCCAACCAGACACCCAGATACCCTGGTCCCAGGGCTTTGCAGACCTAGACAGCCGCTAGAGCACGTCCAGCCCTAGGGCAGGCGCGTCAGCCCTCTGGGGCTGTTCCAAGTTAGAGCCTCTCACGTGAGACCCAATGTGTCATTTCCAAACAGAAGGAATCTAGCTTCCTTGCAGCGGGGAGGAAGAGCAGGGTGTGTGGCTGGGTGGGTGGGTGGGTGCGTGGGCGCGTGGAGAAAGCATGTGTGCGTGCGAATGAAGCGGGCATGTGAATACCAGGGCATGGGTGTTGGGACCTGGTGCACACGGTTTGGGGGGGGAGGGAGGGAGGGGCTCTAAGGTTGAGTAGGGGAAAGAGCCCAGAGAAACAGAGTGTGCCTTTGTGCTGGGCATGTGTGTGTGTGTGTGTATGTGTGTGTGTGTGTGCGCGTGTGCGCGTGCGTGCACCCAGTGGGTGTGGGTGTTTGTCTCCCTGTATCCGCCTTCTCTCCCATCCTGGACTTTTAGCCTTCCGGGCTCACCCCTCCTCATGTCTTGCCTCCTCCCTCACGGGGTTCAAAGTGGGTGCCCTGGTGGATGAGAGGGACACACTCCAGGACCTATTCCAACCCCAGATGCTGCCTGAGGCTTCCCTACAGCTCCCCCTCCCTTCCTTTCCTCTCTTTTCCTCCCTCCCTCTCTTTCCCTTCCTCCTCCCCCCCCTCAAGGCTGGCGTGCCAGGGGGTGGGACATGCCAATCACTGGCTGTGCCTCTCCCGCTGCCAGCGCAGGGCGCAGCTCCCCCCGGGGAGCCAGGTGTTTGGGTCCCAGAAGACACCAACGGCCCCGGAGAAGCAGATGAGCTAAAGACCCTACAGACCCTTCTCCAACCCCATGGTGAGTACATTTTCCAGGGCTTGGGAGGGGCTTTGCTGAGCCCGGAGGGAATGGGGTGGGGGTGCAGGAGAAGCAGGGTCCCCCAAGAGCAGAGACCAGGTTAAGATAGAAGTGGGGTGCACCCTGGAGAAAGGAGGCAGTGGGTGAAGTCTGGAGGCCATGAGGGCTCGGTAGGACTGGACATTTGCCATTCCAAACCCTCCATCTCTTGGTTTTGAGTGAATGCATCTGATGTTTTTCTGGGCTTCCGCTGGCATAGGAGAGCACCCCCCCTCCCGTTAGGAAACTGGACCTGGAGCCCAGAGGGGATTAGGCTACGATGGAGTGGGCACAGAGCACCCAGTACCCCAAGAGCAGAGTAGAAAAGGCAGGAGGCAGCCCTCAGCTCTAGCATCCTGTGGAAGGTTGACCTCCCCCCTTTTATGAGCGGGGGGGAGGGGGGCACCAGTCCCAGTACCTCCTTCTCTCCTCAGGGTGCTCCAAATCCCACCACCCCAATCCACCTTCAGCCCCCCCCAGGATGGACTGAACCAAGCTGCTGACCAGATGGATGAGCTGGATGCCAAGGTGGGTGTTGGGCCAGAAGCCAGGAAGAGACCAGGCAGAGAGCCCCTAGGCTCCTTGGGGACAGTAAGCACATGGACAGCCATGCCAGCCAGGGAATGTGTGTGGCCCTGACATGTGCCTGGCGCACAGAGGCCCCTCCCTATGTTTTTAGTATGTCACAGACACACAGGGCCCAGGACCAGGCAATAGATGGATGCTACTATGTGGGGATGCGGTGAGGCCGGGTGCTCTGATTCTATTGCCAGCTCCTGGGCAGATAGCTGCCCAGGTGGGAAGGGGCTGTCAGCACCCACTAAGTCTAAGGGTGCTTCACTTCCCACAAAACACACCTGCAACCCTCCCCAGACAGACCCAGAGCCCCCTCCTCAACTGGCTGGAGGAAGTTGGGAGTCTCTGGCAGTGAGACCGTCTCTTGGATGAGAGTGCTCTGCCTCTTGACCTCAGCGACTTAGGCAAAGAATGATCAGAGCTGAGCTAGGAAAGGGGAGGAGATGGTACAATGGGGGTAAGAGCAGGTGTGATTCTTGGCTCCCTCACTGGGCTGGGTGGTGGCTGGAAATCTGAGAACTGGGTCCTGGATGCAGTGAGACATTCAGAGCGTCAAGGAAGGGGGCTAGGTAGAGCCTGCCCATTGTGTGGATGAAGAAAGTGAGGCTGAGAAAGGGGAACAGACATGTTCATGGTCACGGACGGGAGATCTAGGGATCCACCTGGGGCTTGGTCCCTATTCTCTTCATTCTCAGCACAACGCTGCGCTCCCACCTCCATGAGCAAGATGATGGAATGGTGGAGAAGGGGGTGCAGCAAGCTTTGGGAGGCAGAAGCCTGGGCTCCAGGCAGGCAGGCAGGCAGGCAGGCGGGCGGGTGGGGAAGAGGTGGGTGAATCTCCCTGGGTTTCTGCTGTGATGCCATGGTGATGCCTAGGAGAATGGGGGAGGAGGGAGAGAGAAGAAAGGGAAAAGGGAGGGGAGAACAAGGAGTGAGGATCTGGGGTACATAGAGAAGAGGATGAGGGTGTCACACAGGCCTAGAGAAATCCAGGATCCAGCCTGCCCAGGACCAGGCTTTGCCATGATCTGGCTAAAGATAGCCCATTGGTGAAGGTCCATCCTGGGTGCAAAAGATTTGGCAATGGTTCTAGGACAAAGAACCTCTTCTAGTCCAGCAGTGTATTTCTGAAGCATTTAACAGATGACACCTGCTGCCCACCACAGATCAGCCTGGCACCCCTGCTGGTGAGTTGGCCCTCAAAACAGGATTCATTCTATTTGTCTCCTCCTTCCTTCCCAAGGCCAGATATCAGGGCTGGAAGTTGTGCGCACCTTTCATGGATCAGAGAAAACTTAACCCAGGGAGGGAGAGAGGGAAGCTGGTTTCTGGGCTAAGGCACCAGCAACAAAGCCCAGTGAGAAGCTGGGTGCTGGTGGCTCACTCCTATCATTCTAGCGACTCTGGAGTCTGAGAAGCCAGGTTTGAAGCCAACCCAGGCAGGGAAGTTCATTAGACTCATATGACCAATTGACCACCAAAAAGCCAGAAGTGGAACTGTGGTTCAAGTGACAGAAGGCAAGCCTTGAGAAAAAAAAAAAAAAAAAGAAAAGAAAAAGCTCATCTGGGCCCTGAGTTCAAGCTCCAGTAATGGTACCAAAACAACAACAACAACAAAAAAGACCAGTGAGGCGTGGCCAGGAGTGCCCTCCCAACACCTTCCCTGTGCCCCAGTCAGGGTTTTCTGCCAGCACCCAGGCTTAGAGTGACAAGATGGCTCCATGCTGCCCTCCTAAATCTCTTCCCTAGCATACCACCATCCTCCCGATCTGCCCTCTCTCCGCACAGGAAGGCGGATCTCTCCTGCCTCCCCTAGTCCTCCCCTTCCCTCCCCCTTCCTCTCACCAGCCAGATCCCCGCCCTGAGGGACTGGTCCAGGGCGCTGTGGTCAACAGCCTGGTGGTATGGACTCTGACTTCATCCCTTAACTCTTTGAGCCCAAGCGCGCGCGCGCACGCACACACACACACACACACACACACACACACACACACACACACACACACACACCCATGACAGGACAGGCTCCATCCTACATCCTTACACATCCTAGACCTCTCCTGGCTCCCCTCCATGTCAGGTAAGACAAAGTTTCCTTGGTCCATTTTTACAGATAAGGATTCCCTTGGTTGTTTTTCTCCTGTGATGAGGCCAGGCTGGGCCTCATCAATGCACAGAGAAAACATAGAGCCATGGCAGATGAGGGAATATCGGAACCTAGGGGGAGCCCCTAGACCCTGCTATGGAGCTGATCCTGACACCCCACAGGCTCATTGTCATGCTCTGGAGCCTGAAGTCAATAAGGAAGATTCCATGTACACACTTATATAGTTAGTCCATAAATACTTATTGAGCAGGGCTGGGAAGATGGCTCAGTGGTAGAGCGCTTGCCTTGCATGCCTGAGGCCCTGGGTTCGATTCCCCAGCACCACATAAGCAAAAAGAAAAAAAAAAAGCCAGAAGTGGTGCTGTGGCTCAAGTGGTAGAGCACTAGCTTTGAGCTGAAGAGCTGAGGGACAGCGCCCAGGCCCAGAGTTCAGGCCCCACGACCAGACCCAAAAAAAAAAAAAAAAATACTTATTGAGCAACTATTATCTGAGCCCTGCAAGAAAGGAGCAAATGAGGCAAACCGAGCCCCTACCCTGCCTCTCTCTCTCTGTCTGTCTCTGTCTGTCTGTCTGTCTCTCTCAGAGCTATGGCTAGTCCTCCCCCATGCCCAGTGCTGTCATCTTACATCACAGGGATAGATGACAGACAGACAGACAGACACACACACACACACACACACTATACACATAGGCCTGATTCTAAAGGGAAGACTGCTTCCTCATTGTTGACTGATTCAAACTAAGATTTAACCAAGTCGTCAAGAGCCCTTCCTCCATGCTCTCATGAACAGCTTTAGCGGGGAAGGGTCTCAGGCACAGACTGATGAGGTCCAAATCCTGCTGTCATTGCTGCTGTACTATAAGGTCTCGAGGTTTAGAGCTTCAGTCGCCTCTTTTCCAAATTGGGAGTAATAGAACGTATTGCACAAGGAGATGTCACAGGTAAATTAAATCATGTACATAATGCATAGAGCCATGTCTGGTATATTCAGGCAGTCAGTAAATAGCAGTTGCTATGATAATATTAGTAATGTTATTAAAAAGCTCCCAGTAGTCTTCATCAGAAGGCCAAGTCCTGGGCAGAAAAGCTTCTTCCTGCTTCCTTCACAACTTCCTGTGACCCCAGACATGACACCCTCCAAGAACTGAGGTTCATCCTATCCTGACAAAGCAATGGAATCGCCCCCACCGTTCCCTAGTCTTGCTCAGCAACAGACACACCCTCACACACAAACACTAAGTGCTAGGAGTCTGCAGCATCCATTCCGAGGGGTTCCCAGGTCAGAGTGATTTGTCCAAGATCAGCCCACAAGATCATACATGCATACATACTTTGGGGAGTCTTCCCCCAACCCACTGCCCTCCTCTTGAACCAGTACCCCCCCACACCCATGCAGGGTTTGTTGGGGTTTTCTTGTGTGTGTGTGCCAGTACTGGGACTTGAACTCAGTATTAGGGCGCTATTGCTTGGCTTTTTCATTCAAAACTGGCACTCTGTGCAATAGGTTCTACTACCCCCATTCAAAAATAAAGTTAGCCCAAGGCTGGTGGCTAGGCCTATAATCCTAGCTACTCAGAAGCTGGATCTTAGAAAGATTACAGTTTGAGGCCAGTCCAGGCAAAAAGTTCATAAGACCCCCTCAGCTCAAGAAATAAAAGCTGAGGGGGCTGGGAAGGTGGCTCAGTGGTAGAGCGCTTGCCTTGCATGCATGAGGCCCTGGGTTCAATTCCACAGCACCACATAAGCAGAAAAAGCCAGAAGTGGTGCTGTGAATTAAGTGGTAGAGCACTCGCCTTGTGCTGAAGAGCTGATGTAAGTCTGTTGTCCCAACTACATGGGAAGCTTAAATAGGGGGAAATCACAGCTCAGGCAAGCAAGACCTTATGTTAAAAATAACTAAAGCAAAAAGGACTGAGAGCACGCCTTAAGTATTAGAACACCTGCCTGGCAAGGACAAGGGCCCTGAGTTTAAACCCCAAGACTGATATTAATTAAGAGAGTTGGAAGGTATTTCTAGCCAGCAAGGCAAAGGATGGCCAGCTGCTTCACTTCTAAGGATCTCTGGTTACTTCTTCTCATAGGTCCTCCTGCCCTGAAAGCATTTGTTTAATACATCACAGCCATAGCTAATGCCCAACAAGAGTTTGTGGTCAGCAGAGGCCACTGTGGTCCTGTTTAGACTTCATATAATGGAGGAGTTAGAGCTGCTCTAACTCCTCCATTATATGAAGAAGCAGATGGAGAACCAGGGAGGGGCTAGGGCTGGGGCTGGAGGC